TGCAGTCTTACATTCCTTGTAGTAAACCCTATAACTTTACTGATGTCCATCCACTAAACTGCATCAAAGGTTATTTATGACTACACCTACTTGAAATGTAGCACCTAATTTGGGATAAAGCTTTCGACCTAAGTGTAGCAACTAGTTTGGGGCAGAGCGAATATAAAATTGAGACTGCTAGTGTTGAATACCAAGTATTTCAATATCATTGATAGCATATTTTAAAAAATAAAGCCATATTCCCTAAAACAAAAAATATTACCTCTCTTAATTACACACACACATACAGGGCTTGGACAAAAATATGGAAACACCTTTAAAAAAACATGTTTCTTTGCTTAATATGGTGTAGGAAACCCGTTGGCATCCAAAACAGCTTGGAGTCTTCTCGGAATGGATAAATACAGTTCCTGTATGTTTGCCAAGGGAATATTATACCATTCTTCCTGCAAAACGGTGGCAAGTTCAGATAACGATGTTGGCGGTGGATAACGAGAACGCACTTTCCGTTCCAATGTAGACCACAAAGGTTTGATAATATTCAGGTCTGATGACTGTGGTGGCCAGGGGAGATGGGACAACTCATCCTCGTGCTCAGAAAACCAGTCCTGGACAATGTGAGCTGTGTGAACAGGGGCTTTGTCGTCTTGGAAGACACCATCCCCATCGGGGAACAAAGTTTGTACCATGCGATGAACTTGATCGGCCAAAATGTTCACATAAGTCTTGGCGTCATGTGCCCTGACACAGTTATCATGGGGCTAGCAGAGAACCACGATATGGCTGCCCAAACCATAACAGAACCCCCGCCATGTTTCACTCTTGGCAACAAGCAGTCTGTATTATAGGCTTGAGATAGCGTTCTCCAGACGTAAACTCAGCCAGAAGTGGGAAACAATGTGAAAGAAGACTCGTCAGACCATATTACTCGCTTCCACTGCTCTATAGTCCAGGCTTTATGACTTAAACACTGCCTTTTCTTGTTACGGGCATTAGCATCACTGATGAGTGGCTTCTCAATTGCAGCACGGCCAGCAATTCCCTGTTTATGAAGCTCCCTTCTAATTGTTTTGGTACTCACAGGGTTCGGTAACACAACATTCATTTCAGCAGTAACTTTTGCAGCTGTGGTCTTCTTATTTTTTGTCACAATTGCCCTTAATGATCGTCTGTCACGATCACTCAGGACACACTTTCGTCCGCGCTGTGATTTAGCAGATGATGTTTTTCCGCTTTTCAAATATGCGGAATAAATCTTCGATACAGTACTCTTGAAACACTAAACACCTCGGCTACCTTGCTTACGGAAGCACCTACCATACGTGCTCCAACAATTTTCCCACGTTCGAAGTCTGTTAACTCTGACATAATGCAATGACAACCTCACATAACAGTACTCCTACAACAACTGAACTGTTTAGCACATTTACGAAGTTGTATAGGTGGCGTCAGTAGTCAAAAACGCCAGCGCCACCTACATATTTCATTAAAATCAATCTTTCTTTTCAAACATGCATTTCACAAGGTCTTTCCATGTTTTTGTCCATCCACTGTATGTATATATGGATTCAACATGAATCTCTATTAATTCAAGTGCAACCACAAAACACTCAACCAGGTAGACAGAAATTCATGCACAGCATATTGATACATCACACTAATTAAAATGAGATATGCTCTTTAAAGTTTTGAAGCTAGTACAGACATCATTCAAATGTTTCTTGATCAAAGATAACAAATACTAGAGCCAAAAAGTAATAAATTTCAAAAAAAAAACTAACACAGTTAGCATTTTTTATAAAATATATACGTGGATGCATTCTTACATTTTAATTGCATTAAATTTATATATATATATATCATAATAAGAGCAAAGGGAAAAAACGGAACACTGTAGATGCGTGATTAGAGCCATATTGAAGAATTTTGATTGCGTAGTATTTAAAGAACTTGGCAGTCGAGGCAGTTTTAATTCCATTTTTATTTCCAATTGATATTTGTGGCCACAATCACTTGGCACAGTTGTCATGCCTTTCCACAGAAGATTTACATTTTTGATATTGTTGGGATAGAAAGCAAGCCAGCGAAATCACATCTTAGCACAGTAGCGAGCAAAAGCTGAAGTGCGTAGTTATGCAAGATGGAGGTACGCGAAGAGAAAAGTTTTGGTTTACAAGGACAGTTTCAGTTCCCAATGATTACGTCATCAGAGCTGCGCCGATCATAGAGTGATCTAGAAATGACGCAATGCAAAGAAGTTATTACGATTTTAGAATAGAGAGGAAGAATTAATGTTTATAGTTTAATCTATAATTTTGATTCATATATTTTTATCTTACATATATATGATAGGTTAAAATATCATACAGAAAACAGAGATTATCTCCAGTATGATAAAAAAAAAATTATGATATTTTTATTTCAGGAAGACTTAAAAATGACATGAAGCTGAACACACGTACACACACATATTAAGAAGCTTGTTTATATACAAAAGGTGAACAAAAGAAACATATCAAAAGAATTTTAAAGTTTTAAAATTTTACGTGATGATGGCTTTTGTTTAAGAAATTTTGTATTATGTATTTGTATTAAATCTGAATTACATGAAACTGATGGAAATGCTATCCGTCCAACAGTTATATGTTACGAATAATTATTTAAATGCAATCGTAATTTTTTTTTAAAAGGAAGAAAACTTTGCAGTATAGCATGCAACAATTATATCATCCTATGTTACTATTAGTTACAGCGGCACATTTTTAATAAAATACACTTTTTGTTAATAATGAGCCACATTACAAATAGAAAAGGTATAGCAGAAGTGTAGCAGAATGCGAGCGCCACCTAGTGATGAATTTCACGAAAGCCACTGAAAACTGGGAACTGGAACTTCATTCAGTCTGGCAGGCCTTGAGTATAAGTTGGCCTTGCACAGACTATCAGACTATGAATTCTGCACATGTGCAGTATCACTATGAGATGTAATAGGACAGTTTGGGCCTGCTTCCTTGGATGATTAACATATTGTATCACTTCTCTAGACTGTACGATTTAGTCTAATTAATTTTGTTCTTTAGGAAAACACAAAAACGTATACTATTTTGCTCTTTTGGCGACCCCTGAACATATAATGGAGACAATTAAAAGAATTTCTAGTAAATACCGAAAAAAAAGGTATTTAAACTTGTGAATACCGGTATTACAAAATCATACAGATGGGCTCAAAATACCCGTATTCAGTATCCCGGTATTGCAATCCCCTAATTATAAGCTTTTATTTAGTTCACTCATGATGTTTCAGTGTTTGTGGAAGATTATCATCGACTTATAATCTACTTTTTATGCAGCTATCAAGCTCAAATTTTGTGTACACACTGTTTTTCAAAACAATGCATTGCGGCTATGCGATTTTTCCAAAACTTTTATGTTTAAATGATTTTTCACATGTATCTTCATTTAACAAATAAAGTGTATCAGAATTTTACTGTTTGCACAATTGAATATAGTGAAAAAAAATTTCAATGCAAAAATGCCTGAGTTTTTGGCAATTTTTTGATAATTCTAGACTATTTTACATTTAAGATTTCAACATCTAAAAATATATCAGGTGTTAAGCTTTGAATTTTCACAGATTATAAAACTAACTTTTTGTCCTCTTTTAAAATAAGAATGATTAAAAAAAACTTTTAATTGAGCAATTTTCTGCATTTTTTAAAAGGAATATGTTGCAGTCTGAGGCAGACAAAATTTAAAAAGGTTTTGTGTCTGCTATCGTGGCCTAGTTACTGGTGAATCAGTGATATTAGTTTTTTCTTTCTAGCTTTAAATAAAATACAGGTTGTAATACTGTTATTTTATCCAGTTTCCGAAACAGTATTCAGAGTGATTTCTTCATTCTTTTAATAATATTCAGTTATTTTTCTTTATTTCATAATTTTTTATAACTTATTGCTTTTGTTTTAATAATGACTAAAGATTTCATCTTTGATAATGTGTAATTGAGTCCAAAAAACAGAAAATAAAATACAATTAAAAAAAATGGTTTTTATACGGTAAACTTTTATCTGAAATGGATATATTTAATGCTCTAAAAAAGAGGAAAAAATTTAGATGTAGTTTAATGGGAATAATACATTAAATAATTCTATTTACAGACTTCACTGCAACTTTATATTGTGAGTAATAACAGCCTGGGGTACCTAAATAACAAAATCTGTTAATTTGATTGTATTTTAAAACGTCTAAATATTATTTTTAACTTATAATGGCCAACCCACACTTTTATTATTTGTGATGTAAAATTGTAGATAAATTCTGTAAATGGAATTATTTAATATAGTATTCCTGTCAGAATACATGATAAATTATTTTTCTCTTTTTAGTACATTTATTATCATATCCCTTTTAAATAAAAGCAAGTTTTTATGCAAAATTATTACAAATAGAAAATTACAAATTATTTTAAGCTTTCTGTCATTGCAGGAGCCATTTGAATGCAAACAGTGTAGCAAAAGAAATACTCTCTCCTATCTTAATGGTTGGTAAAATACAGGCTGTAAATATTTTCATTAAAAAAAATGCTGCATTATTTCCAAGAATACTATTTTTAATTTTCTATTTGTGGGAATTCCCCTCATCAAAGAAGACTACTAACATAATCTTAGGAAATATATTTTCTTTTAGTTGAAATTAATGCAAAAATATACGTTGCATTTTTGCCAGTCATTGAAGAAAAAGTTATTTTCATCATTTGAGTTTTAAATACTAATAAACATTAAAAAGTATGTAAATTATGTTATTTATTGTTTATGTTATTATGTATGTAAATTATGTTATTTATTTATTGTTTGAAATGTATATATGTAATGTCAAAATTAAATCAATTTGCATAAAAGAATTTTTATGGCAATTTATTGATTTTTCTTAATAAAGTTCTCTTTCTTGCTTTTGTGAAATTTGGTGGAAATTATATGATAAGTTTATTCTGTTCTTTACAGGGATTTGATATGGAAGATGCTATTGTACTGAATAAAGCTTCTCTTGAGAGAGGTCTTTTTACGGACATTGACTGGAAAACAGTATATTATGATTTTAATGAGTTGGAAAGAGAATGTGAAGTAACAAAAGTAGAAAATGCATGTCATTCTAAAGCCAAAACTCAAATTGAATTTAAGCGTAATCCAGCAGATCCTCATATTGAACACCTTTTGGATAATGATGGGCTTCCATATATTGGCCGGATAGTCAGAAATGGTGATGTTATATTAAGGTAAAAAAAGATGTCATCCCCCCCAATAAACATATATTGTAATTGCAGGGCTTTTTGCTGTAAATTGCTACCCTTTAGGTTGCAAGAATTTTTGAGAAAACCAAGAAAATCTTGGTTGACAGAATACTATAGGCATGAATATATGAATCAGACAATTGGATTTTTTACATGGTGCTTCATGCTGCTGAGAGGTACTTTGGACATTGGCTATACTGATAAGCATATTTTGTGCAATGCTGTGAGGGTTCGATCTTATCAGTTATGTGCCTGTGGGAGCAGTGATGCCATGGGCCATAAAACAAAGCTTACTATCATGTTTTCAATAGAAGAAGGGATTGTGCTGCTTGAAGCAGCAGATCTTAATACTAGAACTGCGGCAGTTTCGGTGTACCTAAAACTGCGGGCTGGGTTAAATTAGCCCCAATTAATAAAAACCCGTGTTGTTATGTTAAAAGTACGCTGTAATTATTTGGTAATGGCATTTATTCATTTTTAACATTAAATTGTTATAATAAGTGATAAAAATAATAAGATATTACAATATGGAATATTGTATATAGTTAGTAAAATATACAGACAACTTTAATAGAAATATTTAGTTTCCTACCAGTCAAGATTTCCTACACAGTTCATGCACATTTTGGGCAACTTCTTTTTATATATTTTGTACACTTTCCACATATCGGTATTTTACAGTCAGAACAAGTATTTACAGTTTTGTTTCTACACTTGAAAGCTTGGCAATGAACCCTTTTTTCCATCTGCTCAGATTCTTCAGTAGTATTCGCTTTTGTCTGTGCATCTGACTTGTACTTTCTTTTGTTATTATACGCACTACGCAACTCTTCAATGAGTTGTTGAAGATATTCTCTCCTTGTAAGTTTTTTCCAGTCACTTCTTCGTATAAAATCCATGAATTAATTCATGCAAGATCAAGAATGTTGTAGAATACATGAACTGGCCACCTCCTTGATCCTGCCTTCACAGAATATTTTCGAGCTATTTGGTCGGCAATGTTGACACCAAATTTTGATTTATAAAATGATGTTGTTTCTGGAAGCTTTTTGGGGTGATTATTGTTGATATCAACTGTGGGATGAAGGGAGCTCAATAATAAGACATTTTTGCTGGTTCTTTCCTGATAAACTATCAAAGTTATATCATCATGCTCCAATAACAATGTATCATATAATGGCATCTTTACTTTTTTCACAAATTCACGTACTTCTTTCCAATGTCATTTCATCGTTCCAGTTAAACTAGTGTTCTTCGTTTTTAACATTTGGGACAAATTTAGTGTAGTGAAAAAATTATCTGTAGTGATACTTCTGTCTTTATTTTCGAAAGACAAAACAATGTATTCGGAGAACAATGTATTCGGACGCAAAACAATGTATTCGGAGAGGGATAGGTTTTCAGGACAATCCTCATCTTTACCCAAATATGGAAAACCATTGATCGTGCATTTACTATCAACATCAGTGGCAAGCCAGAACTTTATACCAAATTTATCTGGTTTACTTGGCATATATTGCGTGAAACGACATCTGGCTTTAGATGGAAACAGCTGTTCATCAATAGTTATATATAGATGCTCCTGGTTTATAGCAAGTTATTGAATTTTCAATAAATTTCTTTCAAACTTCAAAACTGAAACAGAATTTATCTGTTTGAAGGTGTTCAGATAGTGTACTTTTTTTGTCGAATCGCAGAAATTTCAAAAGTTTCTCTGAATCTATCTCTCGGCATAGTATCGCGGAAAAAAGGGTGGACCCCCAAACAACAGACCACAGACTATCAAGCTCTAGATTATTTGCACCGTATATATCTCGAGCATACGAAATTGATATAAAAGCATCTAACTCATCTAAAGTTGTTCACCATTCATTTTTTCCCATTTGCGAGTGAGGTTCTTCCTCTGTACAGTTTTTGATATAACAAAGCATAGGCTCATCTATAAGTAGCCTCCATGAACTAATTACAAAGACATTTTCAATATTTCGCTTTGCATAACTGGTTTGGCCACTCTTTTCTTTGAAAACATTATGTTCAGCAATTCTTTCACGTATGCAACTTCCAGAGGTGATGATTTCCCAACACGTTCCATCATTTGTAACAAAAGTTCCACAGTTAATTTCATCTGGATTTGAATCTGATAACTTTTTACGTTTATTTACACAGTGTTTTTTCTTTCCAAAAGTGGTTTTTCTGCTACTACATTGTACAGGCAAATTACATACGGTATCTTCATCCGAGGAAATATTTTCTTCATCTGGAGGCACATATTCATCATTCGCTGATTCTTAATCATTATCATTTTCGGATTCATTTTCCGATAATTGTCGCATATATTCGAGGGCCTCAATAACTGTTAATTTACACATATTTCTTCCAGCCATTTTCACCTAATATCAATTTTATCTCTGCGTGTAAACAAGGTGGCAAAAATTGAACAGACTGGTACACTCAAACTATCTTTAATTCAATGCGAACAACCAGTTTTGCAGTCATAAAAAAAACAGATATGCGCCTGTTAGACTACCGCATTGGCTGTGGTAGTATTGCACCACATTCCATTCAATAGGCCAAAACAAAAAACATCGGACAGAAAACATTCCTTGAATACGCCAAACAGAGGCATTTTTCCTGTGTGGAATGACCATGGGAGGGGAAGGGGCTCAACAACACTGGCTACAACTACTACAAACAAAATTCTCAGCTGCTGTTTTGTTATCAGTAACTATCTACTGACCTTGAAGTATTGTTCTGCTTTACATCTGGGAAATGGAAAGAGGACTGAAAAAGCTTTTCTGATTCCCGGAAATGTTGAATTGCAAATTTGGTACTTGTGATTATATAATGGGATCAAAATGACCCATTCCATGGTTTTAGGTATAATTATTAAAAACGAAAAAATGGTCAGTATTTAATGTATCATATTTTTACAGATTATTATTGGCATAAAAATAGGAAAACTCAAGAATTTTTTTTTCAATTTCGTTAGTAATTTTTTGAAAAAATCAGAAACAAAATTGCTTTTGGGTCAAAATGAACCCATCTGCGGTTCTAGTGTTAACTTTATCGAGATAATCTTTTCTGAGGACTATGGTTGTAACTCTCTTTTTGTGCCTTCTAGTACAGTGAATACAAAGTATAATTTTTCATATTAAATAGTTTGAGTGCAATATTTTTTTTTGTTTACTTAATAAAGGTTGAGAAAATAATTAAGGATATGTTTTGGAACTCATAAAATAATCCAAACTCTGTTTCAATATATATCTAAAGTAGTGCACAAGTCTGAATTTACTGCATAGTAAATCTATATTTAGTTTTATAACTCACATTTGGATTTCACTTAAAAAAATTCAGTGATAGAAAATAGAATAATAGAATTTAGTTCACATGCACAAAAAAGGGGGGACACTTTTTTGTGAATTTTCTAACATAACACTTACTACCATAATCTATCTTCATTTTTTTTTATTTCTGCAGCTTAGTTAGCGTTAATTTTCTTCTTTTAATGTTATATTATCATGTAGGACCTAATTTTGTTTTAATCAAAATGACATGTTTTTTCCTGTTCCCTTTTTGAATACATTTCACTGTAATTCGTCAAGCCCTGCAACTGCTAGGGGGAAAATAGCTTACACTAATGTAGACATAAAGCCCTGCTTAAAAAATTCAGTAGTCCAGATTATACAGTCAAAAATTGTTAATCCAGACTCGTCGGGACTTTGGCGATTCCGGATTATCGATTTTTCCAGATTATAGATCATCAGTTTAAATCTGGTAGATGGCATGCAGAAATTATAAAGTTAAAAATATGAAACCGTAATTTATGAAGTAAAGAGCAATTATAATCTAAAGGGTATCAAAATTTATCAAAAAAAAAAGCTTAATATTTATTTGTTTACTTTATTAAACATTTCTTTCAATGTAAGTTGTTTAAGTTGCTTCGTTTTATGTGATAATACTTTCTCTTTAATAATATAAACAGACATAATTTCTTGTTCAGTTACAAAGTTCCGCTGTTCAAGTCCTATAATTGCTGTGTCGAGAATACCGACTAATTTGTCAACTAATCATAAATTCTATTTGACATAATCGAAAGTTCAAGCTTACTTTTATAAAATTGCTCTAATTGTCTGCAAAAAATAATAAGCAGGATCCAATTCGAAGATTAAAGAACAACGCAATCTGCAACATTAACTGAATTATATAATTTTAGCTTAGCTTATACCATTCGTTATACATTAAACACATATGCGTAAATGTATTATGCACATGCGCACACGCATATTCGCAGCCGTGCATGCGCAGAAAGTTTGTAGCTTTGAGGTCCGGATTATAGATCATTCCACCAAGGTGATAGACGACGGACATGGGTGTCCGAATTAATGACTTTTGACTGTATTTGGTTTGTGCTGATATTATTGTAGATTTGTTAATAATTATGGCTGTCTTTTTTGTGTGTGTTTGTGCATGTTTGTGTTTGTATCCTTTTTTTGTATGTGTCCTGTTATTTGTTTCATGTTTGGATTTTACTGATGTACGCATTGAGCATGTAATATATATTTTTATCTATTTTAGAATACATATTTATTTCTGAGTGAAATTAATTGATTTTTCACTTCTGTCTTAACTACATGTTAGACATTATGCAGCACAGTTAGCAAATGCTTATTTATTAGCCACTGGAATATAACTTCTATGCAGATTAATTTTAGTGCAGATTGAAAATTTTACTGAATAGATGCTAATTATATCACATGAGTCAATTTAATAGTTACTTGAAAAACAGTTTCCGCCTCTCCAGTTTATTTAATTTTGAGAATAATAAAAATAAATAGCTTTCAGCTATCTTTTTTAAATATTTTGTTTCTTTTAAAATATATTAATTATGCAGAAATTTCTAAAAAATAATTAAAATTTTAAGTGTAAATTTTCCATGAGCTATATTCAGGGATAGCTTGATTTATTAACCACTTGCGCTAAAAAGA